TATAACCTCTAATCGCATTATTTACGATGACTAATATTCAAAATTCATTCACATAGCTGTACAGTCACATTTATACATAATTATTTTCCTAAGTGTGTGTACATGAGGTTTGTCAAGTTTAGATAATTAATCACGTAATACAAGAATGATCTAATATAGAAACAAGGTTAATTAGACAGCAACTAAAGTAAGATTGAGTTAGTAAGTTAGATGACTTAATTTAATTGACTAAAATATTTCAACCTAGGTCAGAGTAGCAACAGAGAGAATTACAGGTAGAGACTAAGTAGAAGTGGGGTAGAGAATAATGCCATTTAAATAAGAACTGAAATTGAGCAAATAAGTTGGATGACGTAACATAAATGACTAGAAATTGAGCGTTGTTCAAGTCAGTAACAGTGGTAGTGAGGTGTAGGAATTAAATCGGGTGGAGGTAGAGAACACGAAGGTTGAAAATGTAGCATATTAAAATTGTAAAGACAAAATAATACTAATGAAGAGACAGAGAAAAGAAAAAGATTAGGTAGAATTTACTTGTCGCGTAATAAGATAGACTACGTCCATTACAAGTTTAGTCACTGAACGAACTTCTTCTGCATGCAGAGTTCAGGACTTAGCAAGTGAATCGCCATTGCTTCTGCAGTTTGAAGAAGTCTGATTCGTACACCTTTAGGAAGACTACTTCATGCTCTGTAGACATCTTTGAAGTCCCAGCGTTCACTTTCCAAACGTATCACTGAACACTTACCAACATGGTTTTACAAAGGAGAAAAACGATGACCCGCAGCACCATCTTAGAAAATCTGACGGATTCCGGACACCAAGCTACACCCCAAACAAACACTGTGAAAGTGTCATCCACATATCTCCACCATATTTTTGTGTTAAAACAGAACATATCTCTAGCTTCTTCACACATATAAACTCACTAGTAGAGGGAATAAAATGCACATTTGAATCGGAAGATGAACAAGGAGAATTAACTATGAAGTTAGATTGTAAAATAAAACGAATAGGAGAAGGTTAACTGCACACTAGCGCTTATAAAAAACCAACGCATTCTGCTAATAGACATTTCGACTTTAATTCATCACCTCATCCGTTAACTGTTAAGGTAGGCTTAGTTAAGTGTGAAACAAACCTATTGGTAGCACTAAGTAGCACAAAAAAAGACCTAAACGACGAAATAAAACAGATAGAAGAAGCGTTGGTGTTGAATAATTATCCCGTAAAACTCATTAGAAAGATCAGAAAAGGCCAAAAACAAAATAAAAATAATTGTGGAACTAGTAATGATAACATAAATAAGAGAGAATATAAGTCATCTACAGTTATACCATATAAAGAGGGGACATCTGAGACCCTACGTAGGATTCCTAATAAAGCAGGAATTAGAGTGGCATTCAAACCTACAAACTCACTCAGGGACAAGCTCTGTAGGTTAAAGGACCCTGTTGACCCAGTTAAACAAAATAATATAATTTACAAAATACCCTGCAATGACTGTGAAGTCAATTTTTTTGTTTTTATTTTTTATTACAGCTTCATGCCACACCGTAATTTCAGTAGAAGTATGGAATTTTCAGCATGTGATATCGGTAGCCCAAATTTTGCAGGCCGACCATTGATATCAGGTGTGCGTTTGCAGGGGATCGAACCCCAGACTATGTGCATGGTCGGCGAGAGTCCTAACCACTGCGCCACCGACGCAATTACATAGGTCAGACTAGTAGGCCGGGAGTAGTGAGATTATCAGAACATAGGAATTTAGCTAAGGGAAGAATGGTTGATCCTGAAAAGATAAGTAATTTAGAAAAAAGCTCAGCAATTGCCCTTCACGCATTAACAAACAACCACACAATAGGGTACGATAGGGTTAAAATTCTAAAGAGTAACATAGGTAGGTGGAGAGAGAGCTTGATTACGGAATCCTTGTTCATTGAGTCTCCACCCAACACATGCAACAGAAATGACTCAATGCAAATACCAGAAATATGGAAGATATTATTACCACCAGTCAGTCAAATCAGAGGAGGATAACAAATAATCTCAAAATTCTATTTCAATTCAAGCACATCACAACATTCTAACAAGTTACTTATTTATTTTGACTATAAAAACACTCGTCTTATTCCCCATCTAATTGTAATTGATCAATAACACTCATAATATTATTTCTGATTGTACATTATCCCATATTGATTCTTATTCAAATATCTGGTCAATTCCACACATGTATATAAATGAAGGAAAAAAGTTGTGTGAGTAACTTGATATGATTATGAGCAATAGTTTGTGCTCGAAAAGTGGTCATCAGTTAATATTACTGTACAACACTATGTGATTTGTCAAAATAAAATCTTATCCATAATGGAGCCATTTCGCCGTTGAAATAGACATACTGAGGACCAGTCTAAGTGACAGTCCGTTTTTATGAATCTCCGGTTAGCCATATAACCTGGGTGTCAGAGTTGTAGACTTACTGCTCGGTTGAGATCATCGGGATCCAGTGGGTAATGATATGGCTCAAAATGATTCTCATTGGTGCAGATGCCCTTTAACAGCCTCTTAGTTACGATAAAATTTCACGTCTTTTATTCGGATGCTACTATTCCTCCTCTCCTGGACGCTTTTGCTCATTTCACCTCCATTATACAGTAATATTTACTGATGATAACCACGTTTCGAGCACAGTTTATTGCCACTGCTCATAATCATACCAAGGCATTACTCACATAACTTTTTTGCTTCGTTTATACAAATGAGTGAAAATGAAATAAAAGTCAATATAAAGTTCAACAGACCTACGTGAAACAGACTTTAGGGAGATCAAGTACATCTGGAAATAGTATGAGTGTTATCAATAAAATATAGCATGATGAAAAATAAGACGAATATTGTCAGTCAGTGAGATGAGTGTTGCCATGTCGGTCGATAGGCTCCTATAACCTATAAAGCTTGTCCTACTTGAGTGAGTTTGTAAGTTTAAATGTCACCTTAATTCCTGCTTTATTAGGAATCCTATACGTGAGGTCTCAGATTTCCTCTCCTTATATGGTATAAATGTAGATGCCTTACATTCTCTCTTATTTATGTTATCATTACTAGTTTCACCATTATTTTTGTTTAGCTTTTGACCTTTTCTGGTCTTCCTAATGAATTTTATGGGACAGTTAGTTATTTAACACCAACATGTTGTTCTTCTATCTGTTTTATTTCGTCGTTTAGGTCTTTTCTTGTGCTACTTAGTGCCATTGCTCGGTTTGTTAAACACTTAACTAAGCCTGCCTTCACAGACAGATAACGGATGAGGTGATGAATTAAAGTCTAAAACGATGCGTTGACTTTATATAAACGCTGGTGTGCAGTTTACGTTCTTCTGTTCATTTTATTTTACAATCTAACTTCATAGCTAATTCTCCTTATTCATTTTCTCATTCAAATGTGAATTTTACTCCCTTTAGTAGTGAGTTTATGTGTGTGAAGAAGCTAGAGATATTCATAAAAGTTTTTGTATTTCTCAATGAATGAAAAACAAGACAATATTGTTGTTTTTACTGACGTTTCGCCATTCAGTGCTAATAGCTTGATTAAAGTATTATTAAACCAGAAAAATTTACAAAATCTCAGCTTATAGATAACAACCTAATCATCGATCCTCAGCATCGGGTTAACTTTTGCATCGGACAAACATCTTGAGAAATCGAAATCAGAAGTAATGAACACCGTAGAGCATCTGTTCGACCACCGAGAAATCCGGTTGAACTAGAAAAGCTTGAAAAGTCATCAACCAGCCATGGGTCTACACGCTATACAATGAGATCATAAAATTGATTTTGACAATATTGAAATAATCCAGAAAAAAGATTTCAGAAATCACAAAGAACGTCTCATATCATCAGAAGCACTTCATATCAAAAGGAATCCAAATTTTCTGATGAATAGGAATGATGGACTAAAACAGAATTTGACCTGGTTACAACACTCGCTTTCCTTCCCCATGAAGTGACAAAATCAACACGAATGTGATATGCAAATTCACTATGTAAACACATGCTGCCTTTATAATTTTATACGCTCTTCAAATCCAACAATCTACACTTGGTTTTGTTATCCTCACCAACTGGCCAACTTGACAGCGTAAAAATTAACCCATGCTGATGAACTACGATTAATTCCTTGGGATTCTGTAAAATCTGGTTTAATAATTCTTTGACAAAGCTATTAGCAACAGCATTAAATAGCGAAACATCAGCAAAAACAATATCGTTTCGTTTTTCATTCATTGAGAAATACAAAAACTTTTGTTATAATGATTCCCATATACCCAATGCCCAAATTCTGTTTTTAACACTGTGAAAGTGTTATCCACATATATCTTCACCAGATTTTTGGAGTAGGATTAAATGTATTAAGAGCAATTGTTTTCCCAGTTGTCCATAAAGACATCTGCTACGATTGGGAATATAGGTAACCCATTCCATTACTACACCATCTGTTTGTTTATATATTTAGCCCTGGAATTTAAAGATAGTGGATGTGAGGCATAACTGAGTTCCTAAGACAGTTTCCCCAGTGAGCAGCTTTATTCTGTGACTAAGTTCGGGATCAGCAGTTAGTTCTCTTTTAACCGCTTCTAAGGCCCTATTACTGTATAACTCCACTGTGGGACTTTATCAAAACAAAATTTTTTCCATAATTAGATTTTATACTACACCACAGTGCTCAAGTTCTCTTCTTATCGCCTTTTAGTTCTTCTAAATCTTTTCTTTCTCCCGTATTTTATTTACCTCTGTGGGCTACTAAATAGAGTGAGGTAACCTGAACCACTGGATTTCTGCGAGAATTTCTACGTTGAAACTTGGTCAATCAGCAGTCCCTTAGAACATTCATATGTGTCAATGTTATAGATTTAAAAGCTGTTCCTTTCGTCTTTCTTCAAACCTTGAATTCATCTCATTTCAACATTCCCTCTTCTTTTTCGTCTACCTAATTTACAGCTTCAAACGAATGTCTATGAAAGAGTTGCTGATATTTCACTACGTCAAGAGGATTTTCAAAATCAGTTGACAAATATTGAAGAGATGTTACAGAATATACAGGTGAGATTTGGTCTAGAAGATTTTTTATATTAATAATTTTCAAGAATCGGTTTGTAAGGATTAAATTTGTTTTTACGAGTTTGACCACGGAACCATTGAAAACCAGCTACAGTGAGTACTGGACAGCCAACTGTTTCATCCTAGTTCGGGAATCATCTGCAGTACGCAAACATCACAGGGGTTTGAACCCAGGACCTTCCGGTTACAAGGCAAGCTCGTATACCATTAAGCCACTGGGACCCGATTCAATGGCCAGTCCATGAATTCAAACTTCTACCAATTCATGATTTAGCGCGACCCCAACCAATGTCGTCTGTCTTATATCCATCCTCACACTTGACTGGACGGAACTCACTGGTCATGGATGGATGGATGGATGTCCCACCGATGACATTGGTTGGGGTTGAGCTAAATCACGAATTGGTAGAAGTTAGAATCTATGGACAGGCCACTGAATCGGGTCCCAGTGAGTGGCTGAATGGTATACGAGCTAGCTTGCCTTGTAACTGGAAGGTCGTGGGTTCAAACTCTTGTGATGGGCGCGTACTGCCGATGATTCCCAAACTAGGATGAAACAGTTGGCTGTCCAGTACTCCCTGTGGCTGGTTTTCAATGATTCTCTAACTGATATCAATCCGTGATCAACTCGTAAAAATAATTATAATTATACAATTAATTCAACAACTGAGGTTCTGTATTTTATCTTTTTTTATTTTTGTTTACTTTGCCCTCTTATAGAAGACGCTGATGCAACGCAGACAATCTGGTACCGTAGCCTTGGATAAGAAATAAACGTATCAATCAGAAAAAAGTATTTGTATAGATTGCATTCTTTGTAGAGTGATAATTAAAGCCCCAACTCCCTCCAGAAACACACACACATACACACACAAACGTACACCTTGTAATCTTGTATACAACCTGTATAACATTATTATTATAGTAGTACTACTATTGCTATTTACTGTTATTGTTCTTATTATTATTATTGTTTCCTTTAATTCCTAGAGGAACATAGGGCTTCAGCCGTGCGTCTCCACTGCGTTCAGTTCTCTGCTAGAGTCTTCATCTGGTTCCAAGTCTGCCCACACGTTTTCATCTCCTCTTCACATGACCTCCTCCAAGTCACCCTTGCACTGACGACCAACTCGCCTCTTCCCTTTCGGGTTCCACTCGAGCAATGGCTTGTCTAGTGATGTCACTTGATGGTTTCCTCAGAGTATGGCCAGCCAATCCATCTCCATTTCTTCCTGCCTATTTGTTTCGCGATCGGTTCCTGGTTGGTTCGCTCACAGAGATCTCTATTGCTTATCAACTCTGACCATCTGATCTTGAGTATTGAGCGAAGACAACTGTTAATGAAGGTGTGTAGTTTGTTTGAGATGCTCTTTATGACGCGCAGTGCAAGTCTCTGATCTGTATAGTAGCACTGACTGACTTCACATTGGAGTTGTAAATCGGGATGATATTTTTGATGCTGAGTGCTGTTGACCTCCAAACAGACAGACTTGAGAGTAGTGAACGTTTGTCTTGCTTTTCCGATTCTTGCTTTGATATCCTCGTCAGTTCCGCTTGTAGTTGAAACGATGCTTCCCAGTTAGGTAAAGGAGATTGTTTCTTTCAGGTTCCTTCCATTTATGCTGATTGTTGTGTGTTGTTGTTGTTGTTGTTTGTTGTTGGTAATGATGATTTCAACCAGGAATCTTCATTACCTCTGTTTTCTCTATGTTCACCTGAAGTCCTATCTTCTCTGGGTGCTTCTTCTGCCAACTTGTTGCTTTTCGCTTGCATATCTTCCAGTTTTTGTGAAATCAGACATATATCATCGGCGAAGTCCAGATCCTCCAAGTATTTTTTTGTGTGAGTCCATTTTATGCCTGTTTCCTCATTCCCCGCTGTTTGTCGCATTATCCAGTCTACTGCAATCAGGAAAATCATTGGCGATAGTAGGCAGCCTTGTCTTACTCCCGTCCTCACTTCGAAGGATGTTATTGTTCTTATTACTATATAATTATTCCCTTGGGCTATGAGTGGAGCATAGGTCTTCAGCAGCGCAGCTCCATTTAACTCTCTTCTCCACTCAAATCGCCTTTTCCAATTTGCGCTCCACTCGAGGGTTTCTTTAGTGCGAGATGTTACTCAACCGTCTTCTCAGCGTATCTCCAATTAATCTCAAATTCATTTCTTCTTCATATGTGTTTTGCAATAAGTTCATGGTTCGCTCGCTGCCGATCCGAGTTTATTTTCATTGATACTTTCCTACTGACCAGCTGCCTAGTCTTCACTATGGAGCGGACAAAGGCAGCTGTTGATGAAAGTTTGTTAAAAATGTAGAGGACAAAACCGTATCGTTTTGGTCTAAATGCAAGGAACCAATCTTCGCGTCATTGTGTATAGCTATTCGAAACATCCTTTAGAAACTCACAGTCACAAACACTCCAAAACAGCAAAAAGAAGGTCGTTTCTTGTCTGCAGTCTGTTTTTTTAACTCCTTTACGTCCCCTCAGTGGAACATAGCGGTATTCAAGCTAGAACCTTGAAGCTTTGGTAACAGTAGTGTTTATCTTTACGGATTAGGGTTGCTAGTCAGCCTCATATCCAACCTTCCCTCCCTCCCCAGTCTTATTACTGGCTTAGCGATGTAAAGGATTGCGTCGGCTGGCGATCGAACCCCAAACCACATGCATTCTACCACAGTTCTACTGACGCACCATCCAGAGTGTATGTGTGGTTCTGTTCAACAATAGTAACATCAAAAGTTCAAAATTACCTCAACCAGTGTTGACTGGTCACTCAATATGCAAGGAAGACTTCACTAGAAGTCATCTATGAAGTCGAAAGAAGCCTCCCGAAAACGGTAGGTAAACTTCCGCATACTTTGCATTGCCGAGGCCTTAACGATCCGCATAGAAAACCCTTATTTATGTACACAAAATAAGTTAACCAAACATTAACTGTAAAAAGTAGAATATTCCCAACCAACAAGGTGAGATCGAAGTTCTGTCCACAGGAGTCACGGGCCAAAGAATTCCCATAAACAGTCCAAAGTCAGAATAATCTTCAGTCACTCAAACGAAGTCAAGTCGTAAAACAACACATTATCAATGTACTTTGATTAGACACTGGTAATTAGTGTGATATGTGTCTAGTCCTTTCTTTGGTGCAGACTGAATTCTGTCAGTCAGTCAGGTTTGCAATGTAGCCACCATGCCTCTAGGTGACTCACCATCACTTTGCACTTTGATTTGATGATATTAGATGGTTGTCGGCAATCGGCCACGGGAAGCCTTGGTCACCACCTAGGTTTCGTGCTAGTTGGCGCTCACCAGTCATTCAGCAAGGCAGGCGTATCTTCAACCTTGAAGGAACTCATGTCCCTTCTGAGATTCGAACGTCGCCACTCAGTGCCACCCACAGTCGGAGACGTTATCACTGAACTATTGGGGGCTCGTGATTGACCTTCTGTAGGACTGTAGTGGATATTTCTTGATTGGAAACTGGTAACTAGTGTGATGTTTCTAGTCCTAGTTCTAGTGGAAAGTCGTGACCGGTGGGGTGCAGTAGGTCGGGCGTGAAGACAAATACTCGCCGAAGACATTGGTTAATGGTCGCACTGTGTCGTGGATTGGCAGAAGCTGGAATTCATGGGCCATTGGATTGGGTCTCAGTGGCCACTAGCTCGCTAGCCTTGTAACCGGAGGACCCTGGGTTCAAGCCCTGCTGGCGGGTGCGTACTGTTGAAGAATTTCAAACTAGGCTAACGAAACAGCTGTCCAGTACTCCCAGCTGGTTTTTGAGTGGTTCTCTAACCGATGTCAGCTCATGATGAAATCCTGTAGCCTTACTCACTTTTCTCATCACATAAAATATGTGCTTGTTAAATAAGGTGTTGTAGAGGTATTGTCCATAGGTCGAAACTTAACAGTTGCTCCACGTGATGATTCAAACACAGGAACAGTTTTAATGTCCTTCCTAGAAGCAGGCACAATGTTACCGGAAAAGAATTCATTGAAAATACCAATGGGAGGATAACACAAAATGTCAGCACACTTATTGAGGATAATAGCGGGTACACGATCTGGACAGCAAGGGACTGGATAGGTTTCAAGCATCTGAGACACTTGAGGACATCGTATGTAATAAAACCGGAGAAGCAGTCATTATTTGCAATAACAGCATTTGAGATCATAACGTCAGCTGGGCGACATATGAAATAGTTATTAGCAGTGCCAGCATCAACTGATATAGGATTACTAATTATATGCTTATCCTTGGTGATTTCCTTCAATATCTCCCGCATATTTCATGAGATTCGGTGTGATAAGAACTTTTGGTTATAGATCGTATTTAACCTCTGTATTTCTGATTTAATTAAAATGTTGAGTCTCTTAACATCAGGATCGTCTTTGATTTTGTATAACATTTTTTTTGTCCGTGAAGCTGTTTGAACTGAGACGAGGAGAAATGGTCAAATCTGAAGACGACTGTCTCTTTCGCATAGCAAACACCAAGTTAGAATTTGAGATAACATGTTGCATTTGTGATGGTGTCATCTAGAACCCGTTCAGTATATCAACCCCAGATTGTATCTTATAGCATGTCCCTTAGATTCTGTTTATTGTCATGAGAGTAACATCTGTGTTGTGTGTCTTATTGCTGAGGTGCAAGAAGGCGCCTTTGTACAAGTCTCCATATATATTGGGTGATATTCGTATGATACGATGGTCAGAATTAAGTAGTTGGTCTCTTTCCCGAGCTTCAAATACATCAAAGTCATTTGTAAACACTAGGTTTAAAGTATTTCCTGGTCATGTTGAGAAGTTGACGATATATTTTCATGAACTAATGATGTTAGGAAACTGTAGTCACAAGAATTGATGTCGCCAGTTAATACTGCGAAGGGGTTATCAGCAAACGGAGTAAATTCATCGACACATAGGGACGGTTCTCACAGACTACATCCAGGTGCAATATAAATGTTTGAAATGTATTTGTAGCTAAATTTAAACGGGTGTTTTGATCGATATTTGACAGTGAGGCAGTCAAATTTGTCACTAGAGAATATAAAACACACATTTTTAGAAGTACACTACTGAGAATTGATGAAGGCTTTAGCACCACGCCGCATTTATCTTTAGATCTACACCGATCTTGTTCGAATTGTCTGAAAACATTCTGACAGACCAAATTGTCATCATATAGGTTATTAAGTTATATTAATATTACTGTATAACACTGTGATTTATCAAAATAAAATCTTATCTATAATGCAGTTATGCTCTACCACAGTGCCCAGGTTTTATACTTATATGAATATTCCAATGTCGTCGAAAGCGACATATTCCAAATTGGTTATTAAGACACATAGTAAATCCCATTGCAATTATTAATCTGAGTAGAAATCCATCATCATCCACTGAAAAGTACTTAACAATGTCAAGCCACAAAATCAATATTGATTAATGACTGCTTCACAGCTTATTTTATCACATAACTCTAATTCAAGGTTGGTTATTAAAGCTGATGGAAGCACTTTGAATTAATCATATACATTCTAAACCTTCGCCTAACATGAACTACTTGACCTATGTGATCGGCCATTAGTATATACTTTTGTTTTATTTATATAAGTGAGTAATTGTCATGCATTTTATTTTATTATTATTATTGTGAACCATGATAGTTGTAAAGCTATTGTAAAGAAACTACGAAATGATGATATCGTCTCGTGAAATTTGTCTTCAAAATGCCTTATTCAAAGTCTTCAAAGACAAGATATGTTCTTTATGTATTCGTATATACCTTTGTCATTTTAATTTCGATTAATTCCCCTGAAGAAGTTTGGATCAATTGATTCGCCGAACAAAACTTTGGAATATTTCATTTCTAATTCGTGGAAATCTTACAACTATATATAATCTTTGAATATGCCTACTGAAAACGCATTTAAGTAGCTTGTAACTTTTAGTTGAAATATGCGAACAGTATGATCACAAATCAGCATTGATTTCGAGTCATTTTAGACCATATAACAGAGAAATTTTGAGCAGAGAAAGACCAACAAACATTGGTGCAGAATAATATGGATCCATTTTATTTGTTTGGTTCTCATCAGCTGTGTATAACCTGTAATCTTTAATAAATACAAGTCAGTGTGAAATTTTAACATACTTTTGTCTATAGTTGGTTTGTAAGGGTTAGTTTTGTTTTTACGAGTTGATCACGGATGATATCAGTTAGAGAAACACTGAAAACCAAGGAGTACTGGACAGCCAGCTGCTTCATCAGACTAGTTTGGGAGTCATAGGCAGTACTCATACTTTAAGAGCATCATAGTGAAATAAAGCACCAGGTTGATAAGGTATCTGAAGTACCACAGTGTAAATATGTATATCTTGTTTGAGAGAAGTTTCTCGAAAATTAACTGACAAGTTTGTTGTTCGAGTGGTAGCAAAAATACAGTAACAACTACGTAGTTAGATAAAAACAGATCGAAATTAGCTGTGCAAGAGGTGAAATGAGAATATGATGTTGTGATACAGTGAGTATAACTCACAAGAGATAATTTTTCTTGATCTCTATAAGGTCAAGAATATAATATGCATGTTGATATACAAAAATATATTAAAATTTTACACTGACGTATTGAATCAGAGATCATAGGCTGCATGCAGGTGTTGAGAACCAACGAAATAAATTCGATCCATGTTATCCTGTGGCAGTCACATGCATACCTTAACTTCGTCGACTTCGAAAAGGCCTTCGATAGACAGCACTGACCGAGAAGTAATTTGGAAACTACTTCAACACTACGGTGTGCAGTGCCCGAATCTGAATCGACCTCACTCAACAGCTATACGACAGTGGCACTTGTCAGGCGCTTAACAACGGAAAACTCAGAGAAGCCATCTACTGAAGGGAATACAGGAATAAGTCAAGTTGGCTGCCTATTATCACCTACGATATTCCTAATTCTGATGAACTGAATTATGCGGAAGACTCTGATTGGCGAGAATAAAGGAATACGCTGGAACGATAAGGAGACTCTAGAAGATCTGGATTTCGCGGATGATTTATGTCTGAAGTCAGGCAAATACCAACAAACTGTCTGAGGAGGCGAGGCAGGCAGCAAAGACATTCAGGTACCGCATACTCTAAACAGTAAAGGCTATTGTGATTCGCGTAAAATAACCAGTGCTTCGTGTGCAAAAGAAGCAAGTCTAACTAGCCACTACTACTGCCCTGGCCAGCCTTCAGTGGAGACTATAAATTCATGAGTTTGTATCATTATCTTTCCTAATTTTTCTGACATTCAGTTTATTGTTATGTTGATGCTATTGAACTATAATCCATTGAAATTACTATTATTGATTCAGTGTTATTTAAACAACATTAATGTTGTTAATAACACTAATTCATCCATTCAGTGAGTCAGGTAGGGAGATGCAGACTTCCGGGTTGGGGCCAGCCCTCGGGACTCTAAGAATCAATGGCTGGAGACAATAGGTGACATGGCTCAAAATCGTTGTCAATGGCTTACGAAGATGTATTCAGTCTCTGTAATCTTTCATATTCCTTTCTACCATTACTCATTCTGTTTCACTCTTACACTTGTCAAAACTCTATTGATTCTCTTCACTCATTTTCTTGTCTACGTTTGTGTGCTCTTTGGAACGTGGCAACTCGAACTGCTGCACTTCGGTGCCAAGTTCTATGTTGAATCCAGCCAGCAATATACAACTGTAGAACCTGATGAAGAGCAGGTTATCGAATGGAATATTCTTCGTTCCATAACGATTGTTTTGAATAATTTTCAAGAATTAATTTGCAGAGATTAGATATGCTTTAGTTTCGAACCACAGTAGGTGCATGCTGCGTACTGAAGAGTCCCAGACTAGGACGAGACAGCTTTCCAGTACTCCCTGGTAGTTTTCAATGGTTCTCTAACTGATATTAAACTGTATTTAAACAAAATGTATGCTAAGACTGTATCATACTGAGCTAATGTTAGTTCTATCTCTATTCAGATTCATAAAGACGAACTCTAAGACGATAGAGTAAACTGCACAATTCTATCGATTTTTTCTGTTAAGTAACATTGAAAGCATTACAAGAAAACTCTTCATGTTACTTTGAAACAAATTAGGATGATTTTCTTTTTATTTATACTTTTGATATTAGGTTAAAATTTAATAAATAAGTTTTTTTCGTTTTTAATATAATTTAATTTAAGAAACGCTTGCCTCTCGTTTCAACTGCATTTTTCCCAACTGTTCGACTAACAGCTTCCAATTATTTGGTCCTAGGATATCTGCAAGACTACTTCCGGACAGTGCAGACTTTGCATCAAAGCTGGGATTATCACTTTGTACAATACGATAAAGATCTGAAAACAATGGTCTAGTTTTAACAAGTTTTCCAACCAATGCATCATTACGTTCATCAAGATCCAGCAGAGTTTGTACAGCACTATGCGTAGCCAACAGACTATCGATAAGTTGACGTTTACGATCCGACAGTTCAGCATTCAGCGTTTTATGCTGAAGTTTAGCCTCTGCATGAATATTTCTCAAACGATTCAATTCGTCGACAATGATACCGCCTAGTTCAAATACTCTGCCTTGAATTGTTTGAATGACAGTGGGTAATTCATCGATTTTCGCTGAACTTGCCATTCTCAACAGGTTATCCTCTTCTAAATCATATCGATCTTTACGTTTCCCCAATCGATCGTAGGATGTTTTCACTCCAGGCGATGGTAAACACTTTGTTTTTCTTGTTGCCAAGTGGAAATTATCACGAACTTGTTCTGACCATAAACTAATTACAAGAAAACTGAATTCAGCATGTCTATGGGATAGATCACGTTGTATTTGAATCAGCCAGTTCATGCGGGAAAAGTCTGGAGAGAGTTTATCATTCAATAGGTGATCCATTCCAGTTGAACTATACATCCCCGGTCGGCCAGCTTCAATAATCGATTCGAGTGTTTCACGTGTTGTTCTTGGAATCATATAGTGTTCAGGAGATATACCAAAGGTGGATATTGGTAGTTTACTGTTGGACATAATACTTCTTGATGTATCAATACCATTCTGAATGCCTTCTTCGATTGCAGACAGTTGATCTAATAGTCTCAAATTGAATTTTTCACTTGTTCTCAGGGCATTCAACAAATCGACAACTTCTTCACGAATAATACTTAATTCAGTCAGAGCACGATATAAGGCTTGTTGTAGGCCAAATATAGAATAACTAATACTACTTAATTCTGAAGAGATTCGCTCAAATTCTTCTAGAGATTCACTGCATATTTCAAATGCTGCTTGTAAATCGACAACATGTTTTGAGATATTACGACTATCGGAATAAATGTATGGATAATATGAGGTGGCTAGATAACGAATTGATTCCCCGAATGTTGATCTTATTGGTCCTTCTTTGACAATTTGTCTTTGGAATGTACTTGACATTTAAAAAGTAGTAATAATAATAATGATAATAAAGCGAGTCTTCTGAAGTCAATCACAGGATGACACTGTTGACCTTTAAGTCACAGTCAGTTAATACAATAATACTTCTAATCCTATTGGTACTAATTAACTCAACAAAATAATTTACCTATGTCATACGATTAAAAATCAATACACTACTGAGATTTAAATTTCCATAGTCACGTGAATAAGTCTATCGATCGTTTTTAATTGATTGTTAGTAAGAATGATTAGATCGCCACATTACGGATCGACACAACGGGAAACTTACGGAATCCTTCGAAGTGAGGACAGGAGTAAGACAAGGCTGCCTACTATCGCCAATGATTTTCCTAATTGCAGTAGACTGGATAACGCGGCAAACAACGGGCAATGAGGAAACAGGCATAAAATGGACATACACAAAAAACTTGGAGGATATGGACTTCGCCAACGATATACGTCTGATTTCCCACAAACTGGAAGATACGCAAGTGAAAAGCAACAAGTTGGCAGAAGAAGCATCCAGTGAATGTAGGACTTCAGGTGAACATAGAGAAAAGAGAAGTGATGAAGATTCCTGGGCAACACCACCAACAGCAACAACAACAACAGACAACAATCAGCATAAATGGGAGAAACCTGAAAGAAGTAACCTCCTTCACCCACCTACCTACCTGGGAAGCATCGTTTCAACTACAGGCGGAAATGACGATAATATCAAAGCAAGAATCGGAAAACCAAGACAAGTTTTCACTACTCTCAAGTCTGTGTGGAGATCAACAACACTCAGCATGAAAAATAAGATCCGGATTTTCAACTCCAATGTGAAGTCAGTCAGTGCTACTATACGGATCAGAGACTTGCACTGCGCGTCATAAAGAGCACCTCAAACAAACTACACACCTTCATTAACAGTTGTCTTCACTCAATACTCAAGATCAGATGGCCAGAAAAGATCAGCAACAGGGAGGGATCTCTGGGAGCGAACCAACCAGGAACCGATTGTGAAACAAATAAGCAGGAAGAAATGGAGGTAGATTGGCCATACTCTGAGCCATACTCTGAGGAAACCATCAAGTGACATCACTAGACAAGCCATTGCTTGAGTGGAACCCGAGTGGGAACCGGTGAGTGGGTCGTCAGTGCAAGGGTGACTTGGAGGAGGTCATGTGAAGAGGAGATGAAAGCGTGTGGCCAGACATGGAGCCAGGTGAAGACTCTAGCAGAGAACCGAACGCAATGGAGACGCACGGCTGAAGCCCTATGTTCCTCTAGGAATTAAAGGAAACAGTAGTAATAAATAATAATAAGAATGATTAGATGGCTTACATATTTGATAAGGATATATATATATATATGTTCACGCCATTACTGCGAAAGGTCTGGAAAGAACGAAAGGTTACTTTTTCAAGATAAGGATGAAAGATGCACTGGATACAGAACTCCGCCAGTAGCCAGCTGGATTCAGGAAAGGCAAATCATGTGCAGACTAAACTGCAACTCTACGCATCGTCATCATCGAACCAAGCATAGAATGACAGTCAAACCTGTCACTGCCTCAACTTCATCGACTTCGAAAAGATCTTCGACAGACAGCGTTTACCGAGAAGTAATTTGGAAGCTACTTCAACACTGTGGTGTGCAGTGCTCAAATCTTTATCAACTTCACTCAACAGCTGGCTATATGATAACGCCAAGTGTCAGGTGACCCACGGCGGGAAACTCAGAGAGGCGTTCGAGGTGCATGCAGGAGTAAGACAAGCCAGCTACCTGCCTATTATCATCGATAATATTATCAATCGTGATCAACTGAGTTATGTGTAAGACAGTGGGGAGTGAGGAGTCAGGAATACGCTGGACCACTCACTGATAAGAAGACTTCAGAAGATCTAGACTTCACAGATGATTTATGTCTGATGTCACACAAAATCGAAGGAATGCAGGCGAAAGCCAACTAACTGACAGAAGAGGTGAGGCAGGCAGTAAAGACAGGACTCCAAGTAAACATAGAGAAGACGGAGGTGATGAAGATCGACCAACCAACATCAACAGCCACAACAACAACCAGCACCAGTCACCATCAAAGGGAGAGATTTAACAGAGGTTGCTTCCCTCACTTATTTGGTTAGGAAGTATCGTTTCAACTGCAGCTGGTAGAACGGATGAAAATGTCAAAACCAGCTAGCCAGAATCGGAAAGGCAAGAAACGCCTTCATCAACCTGAAACCAGTTTGGAAATCTTCTGCTCTCCACAACATATGGAACAAGATTAGCATTTTCAACACCAATGTCAAGTCAGTCAGTCAATTCTTCTATACGGGTCAGAAACTTGCACTGAGTGGTCGTCACGGAAAGAATTTCCAACAGGTTGCAGACTTTCATCAACAGCTGACCGCTTCACTGTCTCCATACTCGAGATCAAATGGTCGGCCAGTGGAAAGAATTACCAACAAGAAACTCTGGCTGGCTAGGAACTAACCTACAAACAAGAGGCTCTCGCTCAGCAAATATGTGGGAGAAAATGGAGACGGATTGATAGGGCACACATTGAGGAAACCGTCGAATGACATTGTGAGCAACGCAGGCCATCGCTCAAGAGGAGTCCAAATGGGAAGCAACGAGTGGGTCGTCAGTGAGAGGGTGACATGAAGGAGATCTTGTGAGGAGAAGATGAGAGATTATGGGCAGTCGTGGTCCAAGCTGAAGAGGACGGGAGAAGTCAGGGCAAAATGGAGATGTGTTTTTGAAGCCGTATGTCCCACTCGGAACCCAAGGGAATAATAATACTAAATAAATATATATGTATATGTCAGCAGTCCCTTCTTTACAATTAAGTATAATATCGTATTCAGGTGGTGGCTATTTTGCAGGAATCTCGATTTTCAAGTGTTGGTTTGTAGGGATTTGATTGGTTAAAGGATTTTCATCATGAGCTGACATCAGTTAGAGAACCACTGGAAAACCAGCTGGGAGTACTGGACAGCTGTTTCGTCCTAGTTTGAGACTCTTCATCAGTACGCACCCACCGGGATTCGAACCCAGGACCTTCTGGATACGAGGCGAGCTCGTATACCATTAAGCCACCGGGACCCGATCCAATGGCCCATGAATTCTAACTTCTGCCAATTCACGACATAGCGCGACCCCTAGCCAACGTCTTCGGCGAGTATTTGTCCTCACACCCGACCTACTGCACCCTACTGGTCATGACTTCTCACTAGAACCCCAGGTAACTACCTGAATAGGTTTTAACGGTATACGAGCTCGCCTTGTAACCAGAAGGTCCTGGGTTCGAATCCCGGTGGATGCGTACTGATGAAGAGTCCTAAACTAGGACGAAACGGCTGTCCAGTACTCCCAGCTGGTTTTCCAATGGTTCTCTAACCAATGTCAGCTCATGATGAAGATCTGGATTTTGTTATGAACCAACAAACAGAAGTTAGAGAATAGTGTATATAAGGAGTACGATAATCGAATATCTGGTCAACGCTGGTTAGTTCATCTCAACAAACGCCTCCTGCTTCAAAGTGATCTAAAAAGTGAAGAATAACTTACCAGAGGCAGTGGACGCTTTCGTCTCCTTTGTATTGCTGAAGCTTTAGCCATTCAGAGTTATGTATACAAGAGAAAATCATCCGACTACTTCCACTATCATGGTAACAACTTTGTTGATGTTTGTGTGCTTGATTTTTCTAACCCCCTTATAACTCTTAAGTAATTCCATATTTCCCTTTGTTTCTACGTGCATCCTACTTCACAACTCACTCATTAAACTATTCACCTCATTACGTAACTGCATTACGCTTTTTCAACTTCTTTTATGCATTGATTGACATTAATAACCACGTCTCTTGACACCTCATCACCGCTACCCTCTAACCAATATTCACCCCCCCCCACCTAGTTACAATTTGATTAGTCATTCTGTTTTTTGAAATGTCATGACAACAACAACAACCGTAAATGATTTTTATCCTCATCTAACAAAACTAATACACACACACACTCAAAAATAAGTATATATATGATTGCGATTGTACAGCTAAGTGTGAATGAATTCGCCTCAGAAAAGAGACTCTTCGCTGAACTACTCCCAGATGGCTTCGTACATTGTACGTACATTCCACACCCCCATTCTTATTCTTGCTTCTATCGAAAGAAGACAAATCGGCTGGCTGACTGGCTTCTCGAAGTCTTTCACCAGCCTGCGGTGTCATTTATTTGTATATTTTTCGCATTTCTAACATTTTTCTTGTGTGTTTAAGTTTCTGTAGCAGTTAGACTGATTTTCTAGGATGGGTTACATAGCCCCACGCCCAACCCTCCCCCTCTTCCCAAGCTTGGGACCGGCCAGGAAACCAGCTATCTGGTAAACTAGCCAGGGTTTGACTAAATCTAGCGGTCAGAATTCTTCCAAATCCCCCACAATCGTATGATCTGAATATTAATGCACAACTCATCAGTAGCTGACGAGTGGATCACCTGAGGCTCCAATAAGAGGTGACGACCACTGAAGAGGGATAGGCTCCTCTACATCAGAGTGAAGTGGAATCTTATCTATCGAAGTGGTTGATGGTAGCGTCACATCGCGAACTGACAGAAGTTAGAATCCATAGACTATGGAATTTCATTCCAGGGACTAAATCGCCAACCAGTTGGCCACGTAATCTAAATGTGAAGTGATGGAATACCTTGTAAGATCTGATCTTTGCGGATGATTTTTGTGTTTAAAATATCAATCAAAGTCAAAGATCTACGCAGACAAAAACCAACGAGTTGACCAGAGAGGCAGCAAAGAAAAGACTTCAAGTGAACATAGAGAAGACAGAGATTACAAAGATGTACAACCGCCAACAACGAGAGGAATCAATCCCCACCAACGGAAGAAATCTAAATGAATTCAATTGCTTCACTTCTCTAGGAATCATCATTTCAACTACTGGCAGCACTAATGAAGGTCTTCTTCAGGCTTTACGCCAATTTACTGGTCCAAATGG